TCCACATTGATACCATTGGGTTGCAGGGTTCCCAAGTGGAATATGAGTTGCTGTTCCTGCAACCTTCGGGTGGCATCGTTGTGGCACTGCAGGAGGCCCAGGATGGACATGTCGTCTGAGGAATGGGAGGGGGAGTTGAAATGGTTCGCGACTGGGAGGTGCAGTTGTTTGTTGCGAACCGAGCATAGGTGTTCTGCAAAGCGGTCCCCGAGTCTCCGCTTGGTTTCCCCGATGTAGAGGAAGCCACACCGGGTACAGCGGATGCAGTATACCACATTGGCAGATGTGCAGGTGAACATCTGCTTGATGTGGAAAGTCTTCTTGGGGCCTGGGATGGGGGTGAGGGAGGAGGTATGGGGGCAGGTGTAGCACTTCCTGCGGTTGCAGGGAAAAGTGCCGGGTGTGGTGGAGCTGGAGGGGAGTGTGGAGCGGACAAGGGAGTCACGGAGAGAGTTGTCCCTCCGGAAAGCAGATAAGGGTGGGGAGGGAAAGATGTCTTTGGTGGTGGGGTCGGATTGCAGATGGCGGAAGTGTCGGAGGATGATGCGTTGGATCCGGAGGTTGGTGGGGTGGTACGTGAGGACGAGGGGGATTCTTTTTTGGTTTTTATTGCTTGGACGGGGTGTGAGGGATGAGGTGCGGGAGATGTGGGAGACACGGTTGAGGGCGTTCCCCTCCTCGGTGGTCGAGAAGTTACGGTCCTTGAAAAACGAGGACAACTGAGATGTACGGGAGTGGAATGCCTCATCCTGGGAGCAGATGCGGCGGAGGCGAAGGAATTGGGAATAGGGGATAGCATTTTTGCAGGAAGGTGGGTGGGAGGAGGAGTATTCTAGGTAGCTGTGGGAGTCGGTGGGCTTGAAATGAATATCGGTTTCGAGGTGGTTGCCCGATATGGAGACAGAGAGGTCCAGGAAGGGGAGAGAGGTGTTAGAGATGGTCCAGGTAAATTTAAGGTTGGGGTGGAAGGTGTTAGTGAAGTGTATGAACTGTTCGAGCTCCTCGTGGGAGCACGAGGCGGCACCGATACAGTCATCAATGTAACGGAGGAAGAGGTGGGGTTTAGGGCCGGTGTAGGTACGGAAGAGGGATTGTTCCACGTAACCTACAAAGAGGCAGGCGTAGCTTGGGCCCATGCGGGTACCCATGGCTACCCCCTTTGTCTGTAGGAAGTGGGAGGAATTGAAAGAGAAGTTGTTGAGTGTGAGGACGAGTTCGGCTAAGCGGATGAGGGTGTCAGTGGAGGGGGACTGGTCGGGCCTGCGGGACAGGAAGAAGCGGAGGGCCTTAAGGCCATCTGCATGGGGAATGCAGGTGTAGAGGGACTGGACGTCCATGGTAAAGATGAGGTGTTGGGGACCGGGGAATTGGAAGTTCTGGAGGAGGTGGAGGGCGTGGGTGGTGTCACGGACATAGGTAGGGAGTTCCTGGACCAAGGGGGAGAGAATGGAGTCGAGATAGTTGGAGATCAGTTCGGTGGGGCAGGAGCAGGCGGAGACAATGGGTCGACCAGGGCATTCAGGTTTGTGGATTTTGGGAAGGAGATAGAAGCGGGCAGTGCGAGGTTGGGGAACGATGAGGTTGGAGGCCGTGGGTGGGAGGTCACCTGAGGTGATGAGGTTGTGGATGGTTTGCGAGATGATGGTTTGGTGCTCAGGGGTGGGGTCATGATCAAGGGGGCGGTAGGAGGAGGTGTCGGAGAGTTGGCGTCCGGCCTCGGCGATGTAGAGGTCAGTGCGCCATACTACAACTGCACCTCCCTTGTCTGCGGGTTTTATGGTGAGGTTGGGATGGGAGCGGAGGGCTGCACGTTCTGCGGGGGAAGAGGTTGGAGTGGGTGAGAGGGGTGGAGAGGTTGAGGCGATTGATGTCTCGACAGCAGTTGGAGATGAAGAGGTCGAGGGAGGGTAGGAGGCCTTGGGGTGGTGTCCAGGAGGAGGGGGTGTGTTGGAAGCGGGAGAAGGGGTCAGTAGAGGGAGGGTTAGGTTCACGGTTAAAGAAGTAAGCGTGGAGGCGGAGGCGGCGGAAAAACTGCTCTATGTCCAAGCGTGAGCGGTATTCGTTGATCTGTGGGTGGAGGGGGACAAAGGTGAGCCCTTTACTGAGGACTGACACAGAGGACTGAGGATTTCACAAGTTTCAAAATCTCCCCTCCCCCCACCGCATCCCAAAACCAGTCCAACTCGTCCCTGCCTCCCTAACCTGTTCTTCCTCCCACCTATCCCCTCCTCCCACCTCAAGCCGCACCTCCATCTCCTACCGACCAACCTCATCCCGCTCCCTGGACTGACCTATCCCCTTCCTAACTCCTTACCTACACTCACCTTTTTCCTGGCCCCCTCCCCGCCTCTTCGACCTGTTTGTTTCCTCTCCACCTATCCTCTCCTCTATCCCTCTTCTATCCGCCTCCCACTCTCTCCCTATTTATTTCAAAACCCCCTCCCCCTTTTCTGATGAAGGGTCTAGGCCCGAAACGTCAGCCTCTCTGCTCCTATGATGCTGCTTGGCCTGCTGTGTTCATCCAGCCCTGCACCTTGTTGTCTCGGATTCTCCAGCATCTGCAGTTCCTACTATCTCTGTGTGTACAGGAGTTGTCTGAGCAATCTGTATGAGTGACTTATCAACATATCTCTAATTATTACCATTCAACTAAATGCATTTTCAGTCTCCTATTTGCTGTTAATGTCAAATCATCTTAAATACTTTCCCAGAAGTGTAATGATTCTGAATCATGTATCAATTACTTACAAACATGCTTGTTTATGTTACAGGGAAGAAATGGCCAAAGAAATGTCAGATTATCTGGCTAGGTAGGTAACATCTTGTTGCTTAAAACATGCATTGAGATACCAACAGCTCATGTAAAATCACATACTCTGGGTTTATGCATATTTTCACAGTAAATTTTGATTAGGCCACTACCTATAATTAGGATAAACATATTACTTCGGCTGGGGCTCTTGGTGGAAAGTGCAGATGCAACTTTACTGATGGGTTAGTTAATTGTATGGCTTTATATTGTTGTTCACAATTATTATGAGATAATGTGATGCACATTTAGGAGTTGGGTTAAATGGATGCTGGATTAATTTTGTTTTCTCCCAAAAAGCAATTTGCAAAGCTTTAGCTGCTTTAATGTTTTTGAAAAATGGTACCAAAAATATTTTCAATTAATATAATACTGTGCACGACATCAACTTCCTGTAAAGGAGCTTGAGCTCATGCTGATGAGAGAGACTGTTGAGCAATCCATTTTCTCCATGATAGGAAAATTAGTTTACAGTTTGTAACAACAGAATACAAATTTGTAAGATCCATGGCAACAAATTTTATCGGGGAATTTGAGGTTAAGGAACTTATCTATCTTGATGTAATTTTTCTGCAGCCAACTATGGGTGTACATTGTTTTTGAATGCTAATGTTACTGGACCTGATCTTTCTCATTACAGTTACTGGTCTGTTTTTTGAGATTCACATCTTCTGGTACTGAACCAGAATGAGTCATGAGCCTCTGTTGTTTGATCAACGATTTAAAATTATTACAGCATATTCACATTGTGCATGTAGTCACTCTTTGAAAAAGCTATATAATTAATCCCACTCCCCACTCATTTATCTCAGAATTCTTTTTTATTTTCAAATATATACTGGTTTCCCTTTCCAGGTGGGCCTTTTAGATTTTATTTTAATAGAAAATTTAATTGAGATTTAACTTGCCTAAAAGAGTGAGAACTTCATTAATGTTGAATCATGCACTCAACCCCCTTTGTTTTTTGTGGAAGTCTTTCCCTTGGATTGGTAGAGCAATAAAAGCTGTGAAATTAAAAATTTTGCTTCTGAATATTGCTTCAAGGTTAGACCAAGGAAAAGCAGTGCAACCTTCAAAGCTGCTCTAGCATCCACGTCCCACAATTCTTCTAGGAAAACCTGGCACGTGCAGAATGTGCATTTTAACATTCCACTGTTGCCAGGTCTCCTCGTAATGAGCACATTTCAAATATAGGGGCCAGGTAATGTTCTAGTGTAAATGGTGTGTGAAAATGTACCAGCTGCCTCATTCTTAAGAAACAAACAACATAGAAAAATGCAGTGGGTCTCAGCTAGATTACTATAATGCTGCATGCTACAGGAAAGAGATTTAATTACCGCGGATTGTTCGAACAGTGGGATCCTTAATTCCAAACTTTGAGGAAAGAGCAATGAATCCATTAGACCTAAACCAAGTAAAGTTAGAGTGTCATGATGGTTGCAGTGAATCTCTTTACAGTCGGTACTCCTGGTTAAACACACTTTGAAACTTGATAAAAGCTTAGCCTATTGTTGTTCATTTGTTTAGTGTCCAGAAAAACAGAGTTCTGATTAGCATCAACATAGAGAAATTCTGTTTGCTGGAAGTATTACTGCTGCTAAATGGATACAAATAGAACTAGAGTGTTCTTGATGGTTCAAGTGGCTTTCGTGAAACTCAGGATGTGATTAAAGAGCTGGTTAGGGCAGGGAGTTCCTGATATCCTTGCCAACTCTTGTCCCTCAAGCAACGCCACCAAAGAAGAATAACTGGCCCTTCAACTCACTGATGTTCCTGAAATCCTTCTGTTTAGGCAATTACTCTGTACTTCTTTGGAACTACCTTTTAGCTCTAATGAAGAGACTGAGGTTTACTTACTTCACCTGTGAGAGTCTTTGGAGCGTAGAATCATTTTTTAATGATCACCATTTCAGATAGATTTAGAACTGCTTTGATCTTTTTCATTTTATGTTCATACATTCTAAGGTGATTTCTTAATCGTAATGTATTGTTAAATCTCTGACAGTTAAATATGGAATCTTTAGTCTCCAATTGGAGATGTTCTAGTGGTGGTGTGGAACTGAAAGGAAGGTGGTTTGTTTGAATTGTAGTGGATTCGTAGAGGCAGATAGCAGTGTGATTGAGATTTGTTTGGGGGAGCAGAATTTGTCTCATTTGGCAGAAGATATAACCAGCTCAATGGATATGTCTATGTTCACACACCAGAACTAGAGCCTTTGGCATTACCAAACTTATACTCCAAATCTATCAAAAACTGTTCTGCAAACAGTGGTCTTCCTCATTCCTTCTCTCACTTTCACGTCTATCTTTTTCTCTTTCCCTGATTTCATATCTTGAGGATAGTCTCTTCAATATCCACTACAAACCCAACAACTACCCTGTTAACCTGACTACATCTCACACCCTCCTTCCCACAAAGGCCCCGTTCCATTCTCCCAATTTCTCTGCTTCCGTTGCATCTATTCTGATGATTCTACTTTCGATAGGAATGCCTCCAATGTGTTCTCCTTTATCTTCAACTAAGGAGTCGTCCTCCCTACCAGAGTTGACATGGCTGTCAGCTGTGTTTGCATTTCTGCCCTCGCCCTTCCCCTCCATCCAAGAACAAGAACAGAGTTCTCCTTGTCCTCACTTTCCACAGCAGCCTCCACATTCAAGGAATTCTCCCCTGACTTTTCCACCATTTGCAGCAGATTGCCACTACAAACTCATCCCTGTCCTCTACTGTCAGTATTCTGCAAGGAAGTTCCCTCCCTGACACCCTCATCCACTTCTCCATCTCCTCTGCCTCCAAATTGGCATCTTCTCATGGAATTGCAGAAGGTGAAATACTTGACTTTTTACCTCTCCTTTCTCAATGTCCAAGCCTCCAAACACCCCCATAATGAAGCAGTGATCTACTTGTACTTCTTTCAATCTAGTCTGCTGCATTCATTGCTCACAATGCAGCCTCTTTTATATTGACAATATCGAATACAGACAGGATGACCATTTTGTAGTAAACCTTCTCTCTATAAGAAAGACCCTGACCTTCCAGTTGCTTGCCATTTCAATAAAACATCTTTCTCCCATGCTATTGTTTCCATCCGAAGCCTGCTGTGGTGTAGCAGCAAAATTGAATGCAAGTTTGAAGAACAGCACCTCATTTTTTGCTTACGCATGTTGCAACCATCAGGACTCAAATTTAAGTAAGTCCAAAGTAACAATACTGTCATCCATTTTCATTCACCCCTGCCTGCACATCTTGTTTTTAAGCTTGCTGCCTTTGGTCTCAGCAGAGCTGACATACTGTCAACTATCCAAACCTGCCATTAATACCTATTTACATTTAAATCGCTCCTTTACCACTATTAGCACTCCTGTCTTGTTCTGAGCACCTTCACCATCAGTTCCACTCTGTCCTCCTCCCCCATGTGATAACAACAGTCCCTTCAGATGCAAAGTTAAGAGTCTTTGGTCTCAATGTCAAGTCTGTTTCTCTCTGCACTGATAAATATTCCACCCCCTTGGAAATTAAATTTTAAAATCTATCACAATAGCCAACTCTTCTCCCATTGTCTGTGCACTGTATGCCCAAGTGGCACTGGGTTGGTTCTTTTGTCAACAGGTTATCTTCCTTGTCAACAGAAGTCCTGAGGTCCAGGCTACTAAGGCTGCTGCTGGCACAAAGAAATATGATCTCACCAAATGGAAATATGCTGAACTGCGAGATGTCATCAATACCTCTTGTGGTAAGAAGGCTCTCAATCCGACAATGTTTTCCTATTGGTTTCAGTACATGGCACAAGTCCATTTAAGCCCCAGTTGATTTTCACTTAAGGCAGTGCATCCTATCTAAAGATTGTCTTTGTCTTTGTTTAATATCAGTATATTTCCATTAAACTAATTTGTAGAATTGTTATCATTTATGCTTTATCAATGTACAGTAGAATGACAAGAATGACAGTAATACGATAACAGAAATAGTGATTGCACTGGAGGGGGACTTTTGCATCAGGACTTTGAGCATTTCCCTAAGAAGAGAGGCTGAATAGGCATGGGTTGTTTTCTTTGGAGAAGACAAGACTGGGATGGGACCTGGTTGAGGTGTACAAGGTTAAGGGGCATAAAGAAGGTGAATGGGAAGCAGCTGTTCCCTGTAATAGGGTCGATAACAAACGGGCACAATTTTAAGGTGAAAGGCAGGAGGTTTAGAGGGGACTTGAGAATTTTTTTTTTCAGTTAGAAAGTGATGGAAATCTGGAATGTACTGCCTGAGAGGATACTTGAGGCAGGAAACTTCACAACCTTTAAAAAGTACTTGGAAGTGTCCTTGAAGTGTCATAACATTCAGGCCTATGGACCAAATGCTGGGAAGTGAGTATAGTATGGTTTGTTGGTATAGACCCAATTGGCCAAAAGGGCCTCTCTTGTGCTGTATGAATCAACAACACAGCTTACACTGCTTCAAAGTTATCTGTGTTGCAGATTAATATCCGGTGGACACATTCTTCGGGAGTCACAATTCATTGTTACTTCAGTCTGAAACTATGATAGTTCTAAAATTAGACAGTGTGTGTTTGAATGACATGGTGGATTGGGCAGTTATATTAGAGGGCTGTTGTTCTGTCGTGGAGGTAGCAGTAGCATCGTGGCTTTGTCAGGGTCTGGAGAATGGCAGCGGCTGGGGTCACGGAGTAGACTTTGGTGGTCAGTGGCATCGCGGCTCATCGAGGTCTGGAGCATGTTAAATGCTGGGGACCCAGATCAGGACTTTGGCTTGTTGAGGTCCAGAACATCTGGTGAGCCCAACGGGCAGCAGTGTTGGGAGCAGACAGCCTGAGGTCTCCTGGCATCTGCGGGGTTGTAAGCCCAGCATGGCTGAGCACTTAAGAAGGACTGTAATGCTGAGCTTTTAACTTTTTATTTCTTTATTTTTCTACCTTGTACCTGAGATGTTGCACCTAGGTACCTTGTATCTAAGGCAGCACTGCGAACGGTGACTTTGTACACTTTTCACTGAACTCTATACTACTTTCTTGAGCACATGTGACAAATGAAATTCTAATTCAATGGCTGTGTGCATAACCCAGAATTTTAGATTTTTTTTATTGTCAACATCCAGTGTCAAGACAGTTCTTTAGAGGGGGAGAGTTTTTTTGAAAAGGTAAGACCAGCACGGTGTGGACAATCTGTCTCTAGCTTTTAGAACTCTAGATTTCATTACTGACCACAAAAAAAAATTGGAGATTCACGAGTATAAGGGGCCAATTCACAATTTACTGAGAATTTACCATCTAGCTGTCTTCACCAAACTTCTTCCCCAAGTAATTATAATTCCCCCATCCTTATTATAATTATAGTTCTCCCTCTCCACCCTACACATTATTAATGCATCTGGTTCCTTTGTCCCAGTCACAGACAAGGTTATCTGAGACCATCTCCTTGCATTCCTCATTCCCCACAGCCATCAACCTGTTTACAAACTCGTTACCTCTACCACTGAAGGAGGGAGAATGTAATGTATCTACCTCCTGTATTTGTTTGTCAATCAGCAATACCTCTCAAATACTCATGGTTGAATTTCAGAGCTACCTAGTACACCAGGTATGACTAATCAAAGAATTCAATAGTTTTGTGGTGAAAATGTGAATTCCTGGAACCTGGATTTTTTTCAAAGTGTCTTTTAACATTAGGAGCTTGGGCAAATTGACTTTTTTACTTTTAGAATGTTATGCATTCTTCTATTTAGAATATTGTTTGTTTTAAAATACGATGGATTGCCTTAGCTGAAGGGATGCTTATTGCTACAACTGTCAAAATATGAGCAGTGTTTTCAGAGCAGTTTGCTGTGTATATGCTTTAGCCTCCTCAGTGAGATGGAAACTCTTAATAAAATAATCCTTTTTCTCAAAGCATCAACTGGGCCAGGAAAACCTCAAGGAAGAGCTGCGTACTTGTAATAATGTTGAGTTAACAGAGCAGGACAATGTTATGTGCTCCGCTGGGCACCCTCTTCATTTGATTTCTGAACTTTCTGAATCCAAACTACCTTCTCACAATACGGATGTGGCACCTGCTTAATCATTACGATCACATTTACATTTGATTCCCTAGCCAGGGTCAAGTAGCCTAGCATGCCCCAAACCCCATTCTCATCTCAAGTGTACCCTTGAAGGTATCTGACATATAATTGGGTTTAGCCATTCATCACAAGAACTGCATTATGCTGTGTAAAAATCTGTACACTGCTAACTGTGAAAATTGAATAACTTGACCTCTGCTTTATTTTTCGCGATTGCTGACTGTTTAATTAAGCTATATTTCTTTGCCCCAGATCTGTCTTCACGACCACTATCTCATGTGATAAGTTCATAGAGTTCCTCATCATTGCAAAAGGCTCCCCTTGCTCCAGACTGAACTTGTCTTTCTTCAGTTTCTACTGTTTATGATTGTGCCCCCTCGCACTTGCTCATCTTGCCTTTGAGACACACCACCTACTGCTTTCAATTTGTTCCTGTGAACATGCTGACTTCCCAACTTCTGTCTGACAATGTCCTTTGTTTTCAAAACCATTGTCATCAATAACCCATCTACCTCTGTGTTGTTGGAAACTCTGATTCCACCTCCACTGTGTTAAATGCCCCAAAACATGCCCAAATTTCCAATAATTTTGGTTGATTCACTGATCATTGTTTCCATCGTAGCAACAGATCTGCCAGGCCCTGACGAAAGTCATAAGTGACACATGTGACTGTGATTGTGGGGAATTAACCTTTGCTCATTTTCATCCTTGCTGTAACCTATGGCCAACATGACTCCATCTTATTTCTAAGCCCTTTTCCACCTTTTCTAGCTAAGTGGAACTGCCTCTTGCTCAGTTCTAATATCCATTACACTGTAATAGTCAGAGCTGCTTCATTGTTTCTGGATCCCCACCGATTCGTCTTTGGGGCCTTCCCTTCTCATTACCATTTACCTGGCACAATATCTGCAGATACACAATTAAATTCCACAGGTTTGTTGCAAAACACTCTGTTTTGCATCTCGTCTGGGTTTCTTGACCACCTCCACTATTAAACTGCTGATCCAACATGCAATTTTAGATCAGCTTTGGTTTCCTTCAGTTCAATGTTGTAGATGCAAAATTCTGCAAGAACTTGCCTGTCTCATCAATTTGGGAAAATTCCCCTCGTTATTGCACTTTCAGAAATGATCAACAGGAAAACTCTTCCTGGTTGGATGTCAATGAAGAATGAGATCTTCCTTGAAGGAATACATCCCCGTCCTTTCTTGAAGAATCTGACTATACTCAATCATGTATGTTACTGCAGATATTGAGCTGTTGGCAGCATGCAGGGAGGAATTCCATCGGCGGCTGAAGGTTTACCATGCCTGGAAGTCCAGGAACAAAAAGCGCAATACTGAAGCAGAACAACGAGCTCCAAAATCAATCACTGATTATGGTAAGCACCATAGTAATTGAGCACATAATGAAATTTGAACTTATCAATATGTGGATTCTATTTACACATGGCTTTTTGATGATTGGTCTGTGGGTCACTTTAGTATTTGCTGCTCTCCTTATTTTTGGACTTCCCACTCTGCTTGCTTCCCTGTCTCCTTGGTCTTCTTACTTTGGATCTATATCAGTAAATTTCTTCCCTGTATCTTGGCCAATACTTACCTTCCAATAGACATCACTAAAAGAAAAAGATTAGATTCTTATTTCACGTTGTTTGGAACATTTTGAACTTGACATTTCTTAGACCAAAACAGTGCATTATGCGTTGAACAAACTTAATTGACTGGAGGGCTTTGGCTGTTCTGAAATCATGAGAAGTACCTGGTAAATGCACATTTTCTTTTTATTTTCATTTAACTTTCTTTTTAACAAATTTTTTTAATGCCAGTTGATGGTCTCTTCTGATTCAACCTCTAAAGCACGTTGGGATGGCTTTTTTTGTGTTAAAGCTTTAAGAAAATGAAGTACAAATTGTACGTTTTCCAAAAGCTATAATTAATAAACAGTAATTGCGGGATTGAAGGGGTTGGGAAGTCTGCTGTTTCAACATTATTGAAGATTTTCATTCCTGCTTACAGCTGCTAGTTTAATTCTGAAGTGTATGTCTGACCCATATTGTCATGAAATATTGTTATTCATTTGCAACAGCTCAGCAGAATCCCCCTCAGTTACAAGCTAGGCAGCAGGAGATCACTCAGAATCGGACACAGCGCTATTTCCGCATCCCATTTATCCGTCCAGCTGACCAGTACAAAGATCCCCAGAACAAGAAGAAAGGCTGGTGGTATGCCCATTTTGATGGACCATGGATTGCACGTCAGATGGAATTGCACCCAGACAAAGCCCCCATACTCCTGGTAGCTGGTAGGTGTTTCGGGGTCTGACCGCTCTCATGTGTTTCTGTGAACTGTATGCATGAACTCTGCTTTATACAAACCTTCGCATTTGTTAGTTATTATTATAAAGCCTCATCTCTAATCCATTTGACACAAGCTTGTAACAAAAACAGAAGTTGCTGGAAAAGCTCAGCAGGTCTGGCAGCATCTATGAAGAAAAATCAGAGTTAACATTTGGGTCCGGTGACTCTTCCTCGGCTTGTGTCTGGTTTGGCAGGTTAATTGTATCCTTGAATAGTTGGTATGGAAACGTCTTGGTGCCAATAAAACATCAAGTGCACTGTAATATGACTGGAAGTAAAATTTTAAATTAAGAAGTAGGGTGAAAGTTTTCTTTTTACTGTTTTTGCTGTATGTCCTCTAGCTATTTTTAAATGAGTGTTCATGGACCTTTTAGAGATCTATTTCTTAAAATGCCCAGATCCATCTTTCTCTACCTTCTTTAATGTTTTGTTTTCCCACATGAAAGATGGTTTAATATTATTCTGTGTTCTCATTTATAACCCTGTACTGTTCTAGAGTATGCATATTTTCTGTTCTTTTTAAATAGCCTGATCTCCTGTTTGCCTAAAATACTGGAGCATTGTCTACAGTCCTACCACTTGTATGTATCTTCATATCATCTGTAAATATTAGATTCTATACCTAATAGTAACATATAAATCGTCAATAAGCATGAATGGCAATGATATTAATACTAGCTGTTACCAGTCTCCAAACAGATTCATTCCATCTATCACTATTTTGTTCCAATGTCCTCCTTGTGAACCTCAATATGTCACCGCTAATACCATAGGCTTTAATCCTGTAGAGCAGCCTCACATGGTACCTTGTCTAAGCTTTCTAAATCAACTGGGCTCCCCTTGACCGTCATCTTGGTGACATCTCAAACAAAAACTTTCCTGGCATTCTCAAGTCCATGGCTGTACAGATGCCAGTGTTCACCCAATTCAATACACTCCATAAGATATCAAGAAACAGCTGAGGGCCCATGATAGAGCGAAGACTGTGTACCCTGACAATGCCTTGAATGTTATGCTAAAGACTTGGTACTCCAGAACTAGTTGTACCCCAAGTCCCAAAGGTTCCAATACAGCTCAACACCAACATCTACACAACAGTATGGAATTTGACCTATATGTCATTCCTGCAAAAAGCATCACAACTCCAGTCTAGTTAATTACCTGCCCCTCCCATAAGTATACTGTCAGTCATCAATCACGTGATGATGTCATCAAAATTGCTACCAAGAACCCCTAGCAAAATTGAAATCGATGGGAGTCAAGGGTAAAACTTCCCTATTGGTTAGTCATACTTAATATAGAGGGAAATGCTGTTAGTTGTTTAGGCCAACCAGGATGTTGCTGTCAATCAGGACCATGTTCAGGCTCCAACCATTTTCAGCTGCTTTATCAATGACTTTCCTTCAACACAAGGTGGGAAATGCAGATACTTGCTAATGATTCCAGAGTGTTCAATAAAGTTTGAAACTCTTCAGATTCTGAAGCAGTTTGTGTTGGCACGCATTAAGACCTGGTAAAAGAATTCAGGCTTGAGCTGATAAACAAGTAGAGATCACTCCAAGGTGGCACCAATCGGCGCTCTCAGCCTTAAAATCATTTGATTTGTAAATAGTTTCTAATCAACCTATTCAGACATTCGATGACCCAGCTTTGGAGCAGATGGGACTTGAACCCAGGCCTCCTGGCACAAAGGTAAGGACAGAACCACTGTACCACAGGCCCCACCCCCTTCAGTTGAATTCTGCATTCATCCAGGTTAACCAATTAACTGTAATTTTCAGCATTTCGTCCCAGTATAAATTGTGGTTACTATTGCCTAGATTTTATTTCACGTGGAGGCATAATACAAAGTTAGATCCACTATTAATCACTAGAATTATGATTATCCTTGATTGCGTTGTTGGCATGCTGACATTTAGCCAGTAGAGAAACTTTTAAGTTTTATTAAATGCTATATAAAGGTATGTTCAAGCCTTGGGATCTAATGTTACTGCTTTTAGGATTTGCTACCTGCATTTGTTTCTTTCTAGAAAAGAAAGATCAGCTTTCTCCTTTCATGTAGGTTTCATGAAGTATTTCTGCATTATATTTTAGGTAAGGATGACATGGAGATGTGTGAGCTAAGCCTGGATGAGACGGGGCTCACTCGGAAGCGGGGAGCTGAAATCCTACCACGGCAGTTTGAAGAAGTGTGGGAGCGTTGTGGTGGAGTCACATATCTCCGCAATGCAATTGAGAGCAAGCAAGCCAGACCCACTTATGCCACAGCAATGCTACAGAACCTTCTGCATTAGAATGGAATAGATTTTGCCTTGATTATGAGTAGTGGCTTAAAGGAAAAGAGTTGCGAATGGAACAAAGGGAAGAATGCTTCTCCCTGATAAAAATAAATCTGAGCTTGAAATAAATGTTTTTTTAAACTTCTAGATTTCATGAGAACTGTTGTGCAATGGTAATGAGTAAAACTAATCAAATAAAATTAGGAATAATATTCAGTGACACTAACCCTATTTCCTTAAAATTGTGTGGTAAACAATCAAGAATAACACATCTGTAGTGAATCACAGTTTATTCAAAAGTGCCACAGTGATATTTGCAATACTAAGCAAAGAATGAAGGTGGCTGATCTACATGGTGTTAGTTCTTTCAAAATCCTATTTGTTGGGAAATATATGGTTTTATCCAGAGAAGTTTAAAAATCTGCATGCTATCACTTTTGATTGAATTGTTAGATGTTATTTGTTGCTTTGTAAAAGACCTTAATGAGAGCAGCTGCTATTCTGCATAACAAACAGTTTAAAAACCCCAGTTCAGTACTTTAAACACTGATAACACATTTCACAGCTAGACTATAAAGTTATACTTGAAGGTTGCAGTTTTCAGGCACTATGAAATAACCTGCAACCCTTATAATTAGTGGGTCCTGATATTGGGTTCTTAAAGAAGATTACCTCTATTTCAAGTCCTGAAATTTTGAATAATCATGTTGTACCTCTTTGACCCAAATGGATTTTGTTAATTGTAGAACTTTGTTTTATTAACTTCTAATTTTATGTTTCTTTTGTGTAGTGAAGTGTTTTTGTGTACTCTGGTAATTGAATCCCTGACCTCCTGTAAATGCTGTTCCGAAAGTGAAATAATATCTTAAAACTGAAACAGCAATGCTTTTGCACCAGACCCATCAACTTACAATCTGTTACTGGAAACAATTGGTGAATCTTGCATTATCCTTGGTTACTTAAGTATTGAGGTGTATCTTCTTTAGCTTACCATGAAAGAAGTATATTATTTAGGAATGAGCAGGATCACAACCTTTTCTCTAATATCTCTAGTACAAATTGATCTCACTCCTCTCACCATCCCAGCTTACTAAAGCCATATGCAGAAAATCTTTCCAACTGAGGTTAATGGTGACAAGTTGCCTTTTTGGAGATTTGGGTGAAACCAACTCCCAGTCAAAAATGTAGTCTGTTGGCTCTTTGTGTATAATTTCTATCCTTCCATAGCTGTTGCATTTAAAAGAAAGGAAACACATTATCTGTGCAAATGGGATTTGTGTACAATTAACTAGAACAAGGGAGTAAGAAAAGGGTAGCCTGTAAAAATAGGCTAGCATAATCTTGCACTGCATGGCAGTTGTAGTTTTTGTGGAAACCCACAATCTCTTAGACTTTGTCAAACTCGATAACTGTGTGGAAGTTGCTGTAAGTAGGTTGGTTATTTATTTATGATTTCAAATGTGCAAAGTGATTGTCTAATAATCTGATCTACAAGCTCAACCTGAAAACAGTTTGTGTTTTCATGATTCTTTCTGGACCTCTTGGAACAAAGTCTCTTAAAATTTACAGTTTTACAATTTGATTTGTAAATGATCTGTTTTCAATGGTGACATACAGAAAATAAACACATTCCTTACCTGATGTCTTGCAGCATGTTTAGTCTTTGTGCCTTTTGCTGATGGTACCAAATCTTCTGGTAAATTATGTTACTGTTTCATTTTGTGAAGCCAGGGAGGGATTTGAATATCTAGCACATTTTGCAGTACTTTTTTTGTTGCATGTGTCATTGGTAGCATTGTCAATGACCTCCTCTTTAATCACTTACTTGACTTCATGAGGGTTTCCAGTGTGTTGACTCTATGCTCATTATTTCAGTCAGTTTGTCAATGAATTGTATGTCATGCCTTGATCTGAAATCTCTCCTCACTATCGTGAGCTATGTTAACTGGTTCATGTTGTGCTATTGATAATTGTATTTGAAACACGAGCTTCAGTGTGAACATGCTATAGATTTTAATATGTAGTTGTGACAAATCACGTTTCCAGCAGTGCTGCAATACCCTGTCATGCATGACATCTGGTATGAAGTTTTCTTGTCTCTCAAATGATCCCCTTTAGGTGCAAAATCTCCATGTCTAAGCTGGTGCCCTGGATATCACGTGTTTTCCTTTATTGTTCAGTATAGACAAAATCTATGTCAAATCTGGACACAGTGTCAGTAAGAGAAAGCTATGAATTAATTAACTCAACTTTGCTGACTGACTAGAATATACATTGATTTTCGATGAATATATTTTTTTTCAATTGCTCCAGGATTATTTATTGTAATTCAGCTAAAATCAAAATTTTAGAAAAAAAATCCCATTTGGTGTATTCTGTTTCTAATTTATTTTCTGAATTACTTTTTCCATCAATACAACAGTAATGGCTATTCATTTCATTCAAAAGAGGAACTGTTATGCCCAATCCAATATGATCACATTTTTAAAACATCAAGCAAGCTCCTTAGTTGATCTAAATTATGAAATACCATTTTTATTTTAAAGGAGCTGTTTCCCCTGAATATGACTTGCTATATTGCGCCTTATCCTGTTTTTATCATTTCAAAATTATTCCAAATTAGTACTATTGGACTGACCTGATCTTATTTTATGGAAATAAAATTAAACATAGACAAAACATTTCTCCTTGCTACTAGGAACCACACAAATTCCCTTCTCAATGAAAATTTGACCATCTCCATAAACTTCAGTTCTGTTTCCGTCTTTCATTGCCCAAAGTAATAATTCCTTTCAATTAATCTTATTAATTCTGATTTCAGAAGCGAGTTGTGCCCAGACTTGGTTTACATTAAAGACAACTGCTTGAAAAAAATCTGCAAATTTGTCCCATTTCACGCACCCTGTCCTAGGCAACAAATAACCTTAAATGGGTTAAGTCTTTTCTTTTGAATGGCAATGTTTTAAATTCATATCACCTATGATGTTTGATGTCTGCAGTTAACTTCTCTAAACTGCTGCATCTCTTCCTAGTCATCAATGCCATTTGGTTCAGAAGATCATGTCTCCAAAAAATGAACAGAAAATCTGATCTGCCTCTGTTTAAAAGAAGCTTGGGGTTAATTTGTCAATGTGTGATTTTCCTTCTGATAACTTTATGAACTGAGCATTAGTACATTTTGCATTCAGCAATACAAGAGTAGTTGCTTGGTGAATTGTATTTTTTCTAAAAGTCAGCATTTTTACCTTCATAAACTTGCGCGTTTCCCAAGGCAGTAAATTCAGAAATAAATCTTAGCTTCTTGTTTACTTACAGCCTTTCAAAATGTCAAATCTAAACTGCCAATTGTTGATCCTCCCTCGAGTTAAAAATCAATTATATAACAGAATCTGTTAACAATCACATATTTTGAAATTCTGAAACAATTCTGTAGTATAATAAGAGACCTTCAGATGAATATCATTGTGATTGATATTGGTATCTGTAAGCAGAATCTGACTGTATCACTAAGATGATCAAACAATCAGAAGCCCATCACATCACTGAATACTTGATATTGATTATATGGCAGTCTCATGTCTGGAATTAAGACTTCCATAGAATTAATAACAACCCAAAATTCACTCTGGCCACAATGATAGATCTGATCTTACTAATCACTAATTTGTTAACCTTGATAGTTTCAATATAAGCAGACCAATCTTTTAATAACCAAATGCAATAAATTGCAATCAATTGTACATGTTTACAAAATCAAGAAACTGTAAATTATTTAAACTTCCCATTCAGGTAGCTTTTCAAACAAGTGTTTTAAAAAAAAAACTAAAGAGAAAAGGTTTTTCCACAGAGAATAAACTATCTCTCAAAGGGAAGGTAAAGCTTCCCACAACCATTGGACTCAGAAATATTCACAGGGCTTCTTTAAAGCAATAGGTTGAACACTGAACTCCTGCAACTTGTGACTGTTGGAAAAGATTGGAATGTTTTCTTTCACTTCTGTTTTATTCCATTAAATATTAGTTGATATTTTTCTCTCAATGCAATTTCTATTTGCCACTTGTATGTCAAATACCTTGGGCAACGGAAGGAAGTAAATGTACTGTAACCAGATTTGCAGCAGACAAAAATAGGTGGAAAGGCAGATTGCAAGAGGGATACAAACAGTTTAGAGAGGTATTGATAGGTTAAGTGGGGTAAAGTGTTGGAAAATGGATTATAATGTGACATTGTTCATTTTGAAAGGGAGAATAATAAAAACAGTATGTGGAGAAAAACTGCAGAAAGCTGCAATACAAAGGGACTTGGGGATACTGCTACACAAAACATAGCAAGTTAGTATACAGGTGCAGCAGGTAATCAGAAAAGCTAATGGAATGTTGGCTCTTATTTCAAGGGGGCTGGTGTATAAAAGTAGGAAAGTCCTAACTACAATTGTACAGGTGCTGGTGAGACCACATCTGGAGTACTATGAACAATTTTGGTCCCTATATTTATACTTAAGAGAAGATATAATTTCATTAGAGGCAGCAGAGAGAAGGTTTGTTAGGATGATCCATGCTTGGACAGCTTGTTTTATGAGCGAAGGATAAACCGATTGGGACTCAACTCTTTGGAATTTGGAAGAATGGGAGGTGATCTCATTGAAACATAGGATTCTCAAGGGGCTTGATGCAGTAAATGCTAAGAGGATATGTCAATTTAAGACCACAATGAGGAGGGATTTCTTCTGAGGATTGAGTCTTGAGTACTACTTGCCACAGAGAGCTGTGGAGGCAGAGTCTTTGTGTATATCGAAGTCTGAGATAGATTCTTGATCAGTAGGAGAATTGAGGGTTCTGGGGAAAACACAGGAAAGTGGATGTGAAGAGTGTCGGATCAGTCATGATCCTATTGAACAAGTCCTAGGGGTCAAATAGCCTACTTCTGTTCCTGGGAAATAGTAAGAACTGCCGATGCTGGAGTCCAAGATAACAGTGTGGAGCTGGAGGAAAACAGCAGGCCAGGCAGCATCAGAG